AAAAGCATCGAGACGCTTCCGGGTTGAAAGGATTAGCTGGTGACATCACTGTTGCCCAGGGGATGCCCGCTGAGGGGTCCTTTCATGTCTCTTATTAATGAGCCCACCAAAGTGATACCTATTTGTCTACTCGCATTTGCATGCTCTCAAACTGCTACATTGGCAGGAGCTCACCCCGTCACACAGCAGCACTCAGTCTCGAATGCAGGTTTAACAGATTGTCAATTCACCATTATAATCACATGAGCCACCACATTCCCTGTTATGCAAGTTATACTTCAGGAGATTTGTTGTTTTAAATAGTTTCATTTAAAAGGAAAATATTTTAACCTTTATGATCACAAGCCATGCACACAAAACAAAAATGGAAAATAAATGTGATTGCATAAGAATATATATGCCGAAGCCACTGGAGCAATTATAGCAATTATACAACAGTCTTCTTGGTGTAAGAATGTGGATCTTAATTATACTGGCTGACTAGTTAATTATACCTTAGAAATAGCCTTCACATGAATTGAAAGTGGGGTTTGCACATAGAGCCCGTTCTTCTCCCTGCCCCACCTAATTTATCCAGAGAACGCATTTCTTGGCATGCACCTACTGAACCTATCTGCACCTTATCCCTTAACTAGGAAATTGGTCTGGAGGCTACTGACCTTGAGGAAAGGCAAGAGGAGCCAGGCCTCATGTTTGGATCCTTTCTCTACCATGGCATGTGCACAGAGAGGCAAGATGTTGGGGTGCTCAAAAAGCAGGTGCATCTCTACCTCGTGCAGAGCTTCCTGACGATCATCCTTGTCATGGCATATGATGCGTTTCAAGGCATAGAAGCGCCCATCCTGCAGCCCTTCGACAAGGTCCACATAACTGAAGCCACTGCAGGGAGTAAAACAGAATAAGCCACAGGGCAAGAGGACAAAGACTTGTGTATTCTGATGTAAATGGAACCCAAACAACTTATTTTCTCTCCTCTTTTCTACCATGACTTTCTTTACTTTCAAAGCTCACCCTTATTCTTAAATTATGACCCTGTTCTGCTATCAACCGCATCCTACACTTCGCAGCACTGCGAGGGCTGTGCTTTCCACACGGAGTTGCTGGTTCATCGATGCCAGCTTAATAGTTGCTATTCATATCAGTTCAGTGCTGACACATAATAATGAGATTATAGAGAAAGGGTAGATATCTAATGCTACAACTGGAAGAAGAACAAGAGAGGACTCTTGTTCATGTTGTGTCCCTGGTTTGTTTATAATTTCATGAAGCTGTTGTTGCTTTTTTCAAAAATACTTTGTGTAGCACTGTACAATTGTTAGCTTGATAAAGGGAGAAATGTTGAAATAAATGCCATATAGCATTAAGCAGAATTCTGGTTCTCCATAGCACTTTATCACAATATTGATAAAACTGTCCAAAAAGGCACAGCCACTGAATATGCTTAGCAATCACAAAAGAGTTTATGCATATCCCAAAATATACCTAATTAGAAATAAGTGGGGAAGATCACCAGCTCTGTAGGAATCTGATATTTGCTATCATTAAAAACTATTTTATATTTAGTTTATAATGATATTTTATAATATTAGAAACTAAACATTAAATATTGATAGTCTGATGGTCTGCTCCGTTGCTGTGCTCATATATATATATATATATATATATATATATATGGCCTTCAGCTTTGTTCGGGTATTTTCCCACGTCATTATAGTTGTGCTTTTAAAGTTGTAGCAACGTTTCAGCAGAATCTCATCTGCCATCATCAGGCTTCTGTATTGTACAGAAGCCTGATGATGGCAGAATACAGAAGCCTGATGATGGCAGATGAGATTCTGCTGAAACGTTGCTACAACTTTAAAAGCACAACTATAATGACGTGGGAAAATACCCGAACAAAGCTGAAGGCCATACATGTAAGTACCCGCGAAAACTTAAGAAAACAAATATATATATAAGAGTGTCATGAAGAAAAGGATGAAAGTCTGAGATATTACTGGGGGAAGAGAAGCAGCACACATAAGGCGCAGAAAATATATGATTATGTATCAGAAATAACATTCTAACCGTAATGAGTGGTAAGCAACAAAATCAGATGCCCAGAGGAATTGTGATATCACCTTCCTTGGAGTAACAGGAAGCCCAATTCATGTATGAAAAGCTGGAGGGAATAGCACCAAGTGAAGAAAAAAAAAATACACCTGTCTTTAATGAAGCTTGAATGACAACTTTGGAGGAATATTTTGGAGAAGGTGGGAAGTGGATAGAAAAACCAATGGCCCTCCACGTGGCTGGACTGCAACTCACAGCAGCTGAAGCCAGCTATGGTGAGGATGATGGATGATACTGATCAGAATAATCTGAAAGGAACAACTTTCTCATATCTGGAATAAACCTTGAAATGCAATAATTCTACCCCTGGCAAACAAAGTGTGTGTATATACACATATATACTTCCTACTTCTTTAAAAGCGTGAACATATGCGGTCAAAACATCTTCCTACAGGTGGAGAACTACATGGAGAATTTATACTAGTAGGAGTCAGAGAAGGCAGTGATGGGGAGACAATGATGAGAAGCACTTTAGGTAAAAGTTTTGTGCTTTGCATTTGGGTCTTTCTTGATTACCACAGTTAAAAGGAAATATAGACCAAACTTTGGTAAAAGATAGGGTAGTGATTAAAGGGTCCTTTGTGAAATTTCAAAATGAATCACGGCAAAGCATCTTAAAAGATCCCTCTGGAAGGAGTCCAATACTCACCCCTCCCCAAGCCTGTGGATTAAAAGATAGCGTTTGTTATTGATGGTGATGGTCCCCCTTGAACAGATACACAGGGCATGACCCATGGTGGTCGCTTCAACATCCTTCAGACTCTATAGAGGATAAGAAAGCAAAGTACCAGACTTTGGTATAGCCATTGTAAAGGCCTAAGGCTGAGAAAAGAGGGACAGCCTCATGTGAAGATATTAATAAATGGATACATATGCAAGTAGTCCATGTTTAACATTCACAACTGGGACTGGCAATTTGATCATTAAGCAAAGTAGTTGCTAGATAAAACGGTAAATGCATTTCTGACCTTATTTCAGCTTTCCTTTGCTTTGCAGATCTGCAAAGGTCACACATGCAAAGTCACTTTTTCATCACGTGAGAAATGTGAGCAGTCATTGTGCAAAGTAGTTGCTAAACATGGATTATCTGTGTAATTAAACCAGATGATCTTTCATGTAAGGTATAACACTGAAGGGGAATACAAGAGAATAATAGTTCATATTGTTTGCCCAATAACAGAATTGTCCATTCATCAGTTTCTTTTCTCTCAATATCATCATATTGACTGGAAAAAATATGGTCACAACATTGGTACTGGAGTGGAAATGAGACAGCTTAAATTGCAGGCTGTAATATAAGCTATCTTTCTGTGGGTAGGAGCCAGATTAAAAAAACATGGGAACATTTTCTCCAGCTTCTGAGAGCTTCAAAACCAGTAAATATCATCTGGAAATGCCATAGAAGGGCAATGGGCCAGAATTTTCAGTCCCTCTTTTTTACCCCCCTGAAGTGAGGTTTATAAAAGTAAAACTAGGCTTAGCACGTTTATTTAGGGAAATATTAGAAAGAAGAGAAATTACACTGCTATGGCTTGCCACTAAATGTTGATGGTGCAATCTTAAATAGGCTTTGAGAATTGCAAAAAATAAAACAGCAACAAAAGCAGATGAAGCACATACAGACTTGCTGGCTTCCCAGCCCAGCTGAAGAAAATGTTCCATTCTCTATCCTGTTATAATAAAATATGTTCTGTGGAACTATAAAAAAGAGGGTTAATTGTCAACTCCAAAACAGCAGTCAGCTGCATGTCAACAGTTTGGCAGCCAAGAAATGTATACTCAATGAATCTTCTAAAAAGAAAAAAAAAACGATATTAAGTGGAAAACTGGGGAACAGGGCCTGACTCCAGTCACCAAAATTTTGTAGTCTATTTTTGGAAAAACAAAAACAAAATGCCACTGTTCATCTCAACAAGGAATGGAACAATCTAGAATCAGAACTTCCTTCCACCTGCTCCCAGTTGAATCATATGATGAAATGTAATTGGTATCTTCCAAATATAAAGGCACTTCCTTAATGATACTAACTGAATTGATAGCATGGAAAGGGGAAGGAAAAGTCTCTCTCTTTAACTGCCTATCAAAAATGTGACTTTTTAAAAACTACATAATAAAACTCTTTTATATATTTCCCCTTGCTTGTCGAGTAAAGTACCGTCTCCCTGAGTGTCAACCATAATCCAAAATGAAAGGTCAGAAGCCTGCCCTTTGGATTACATTCTAAAAAGGCAAGGCACATAAGGAAAAAAAGGAGGGGGGAAAAGGTAAAGATTAGGGAGTTTCTTCGGAGCCGGAGAGAAAAGCGTTGAGCAGCCCGTCACATTCAGTGGTTCAGAAAATATATACGGTTGATTGGGGGGCATCGAAAAGCCATCGAGGGAAGCAGTACATGCAAAGTTCCGCCATGGGAATAATGCACTCTGCACATGACCAGACGCACAGTCGCAGTTACTGTTATGTCATTAGTTCTAGAGTGGATAAGTGCATTAAATTCGGAGGCAGAGTTATGGCTCAAACTCTCAAACAGGGGACGGAAATCCTCGCCCTTTCTGCACCGCCATTCTCGAATACAGAACAGCCGCAAACTCGACCAAGCTCATCTTCATGCCCCGCCCATCCGCAGAGGCACACGGGGGTGGGGGAGAGAGCAGAGGAGAGGGGAGGGGGCGAGACACTCACCCAGTCTAGAGCTGGAAGGCGTCCTGGAGAGCTTGAGCGCGACAGGAGCCACTGCGCTGGCTGGTGACGTTATCACTCTGCGTCGTCTTCTCTTGCGGCCCTGGAGGTAACTAAGCAACCACTCGAGGGGAAGAAGAAAATAATCTGTGAAAGAGGAAAAGAAGGCGGGAAGTGGGAAAGAACTGAAAAGCAAAAAGAGAAAAACAGACAGAAGTCATGAGTTGGGTGTTCAAGGGCAAGTCTGTAGAGTTTTTGGACAAAAAGTGTTGAGCTTCAGTATGGTGGGTTTTATTTGACTGGGGTTACTGAATATTTCCTAAAATGTGAGGGTCACTTTCAATTAACAGCAAAGACTTATTTTTAAATAAATGCGTATAGCCCTGTAACTTAGTCCCAAAAGTCCCAAAGGTGTGTGTCCCCCCCCCCCCCCAGGAGGCAACTGGACTTTCTGGTTTTTATTTGAAGACGTTCTGCTTCTCATTCAAGAAGCTTCTTCTGCTCTGATTGGATGGTGGGGAATGAAAGGATTTACACTCGCAAAGCAAAACGTCTTCAAAGAAAAACCAGAAAGTCCAGTTGCCTCTTGGGGGAAAAAAAAAAGCACCTTTGGGACAACAATGACTTGGGTGACTGAGAATCTCCACAGATATTTAGTCCCAAAAGGCTGTTATGTTCTTGAGTTCTGCCATGAAAATAATGTATTAGCTGTACTTCACAGAGCTGTTGTGAAGATAATGTCAAACGAGCTCATGAAAGGCTCTAAATGAGTTCCTCTAGGTAGGACATAATTGATTTTTAATATCAACCATTTCTCTAGAAAACAGGGCAACATGTATAATCCACCACCACATAAATTAGTACAAAAACTGTGAACTAATTAGAACATGATTAGCCCAAGGTGTTCTGCTGAAATTTATAGATGTGTAGGGATGCAATAGTGGTGAATAGTGTGTCAAGGCAGATGTAATTTTAGCCACTTTAACATGCCGGAAAATGCATTGGGAGTTTTAATAAAATTTAATTGTGATCATTTTAATAATAATATTGTGAACAATGATGGCCTAGTGGTGAAGACACTCACCTCGGAAGGTTGAGAATTCAAACTGAGGTAGTTGCAGATGTTTCCTAGGGCGCAAAGAAAGAAAAAACTGTTGTGAACACTGCATAAGCATCAGGAAGGGCACTGGCCAGTAAATGCTCAGCTTCATCCAGTTGCTCCAACTCTCTCCTGAATAGAGACTACAGCAGAGGTCGGCAACCTTTTGGACCTCAGGGACCACCAAACTCCTAATTTTAAATCCCGGGGACCACTAATATGAGTTTTGACTGACTTGCTGACATTGGTGGGAGAGAGAGAGAGAGATCTGATCTAACCTCTCTCTCTCTCTCTCTCTCACACACACACACACACAGGGATTCAAATTTCTTAACTGGTTCAAATTTCTTAACTGGTTCTGGGGGTGTGACCTAATTTGTGGGTGTGGCTTGGTCATGTGACTGGCTGGGCATGGCTTGTATGTAAATATAAATATTTATGTAAATATTGATTTTTTTTTTATTAAAAAAGAGCAACTTTTACCCAAAATCAGGCAAAGCAGGCAGGCAGACTGAGTTGCTCACAGAATCACAGATTAACTTAGAGATCTATGATTCTGGAATTGGCTACCTGAGTCTGTCACATAAAATTTGCTTGCAAGCAAACTCAGAAAATTAACTCACAACACACTATGTATGTAAATATTGAATTTTTTATTAAAAAAGTGCAACTTTTACCCAAAATCAGGCAAAGCAGGCAGGCATATTGAGTTGCTCATAGAATTACAGATTCACTTAGAGATCTATCTATCCGCAATTGGCTATCTGCACTGAATAATAGGAGCTTCAGTCCTAAGGAAGGAGCTGAAGATCTAAAGATTAGCTAGAAAGCAAGAAATGCAATGATCTCCTGCTTTTTAGCTAATCTAAATCTCCCAGCACAGCAGAACAGCTGATGGTTGGAAAAAGAAAAAAAAAGGAAAAATAGCAACTTAGCAGGCAAATTTGCCAGGTAAGGAGTGAGTGGGCGGGGAGGGTTCCTCTGGGCCATTTGGGCGGTGCAGCCTTGTGTTCCTGTGCAGCCTGGATTAATTGCTTTGGGGGATGCTCTGCAGGTGATATTTCTCTGCAGACTACCAAAATTTTCTCGCGGGCCACCAGTGGTCTGTGGCCCACCGGTTGGCAACCACTGGACTACAGGGTCTTTTAAAAAGTGGGGGGAGTAATCATTTTAATGTTGACAGCAGACATTTGACATTCTGATCAAATAACTTCCTTTGTGGCTTAGATTGCAATGGCATCTAGAGCCTGATTGGTTTTACCCAAATTTTACCATTCAGTGACTCCTAATTCCTTAGTTTATAACAGCATCTCATTATGAGGTGGCACAGAATGTGGTGATGCCAAGGATAGTGTGCTGGGACATTATGCACTGGTTACCTTGGATGCCTGTATGGATTCCCTGTTGCTGAATGAATACAATCATTATACAGGTCTGGCGAGTAAAAGGGACTTCCAATGACAAGTTTCAATAAATGGGACAAAACACACTGAAAAGCAAGAAGATTGTATAATTATATGATAGCAGCACACAATATTTAATAATTAAAATACTTGATATTCTTATGGAACCTTTTGCTCTCTCAGAATAGGTATGTATTAGCTTGTTTCATAATCACCATATTTGCTTCTGATCATTTATTAGATCTACAAGAAGTGTGAGTTATCTTTAAATCTAGTGTGCATTATTTTAAAATAATTGATGCTTTTGAATCAATATCATACAATACAGTATCAGCTTAGGTATATTTACACTCTCAACTCACAGATAACTATTTGTCAGTATCCTGCTAGTTTGAGGAAATGTATGTTTTGCATAAGTTATGGTAAATAACCTCTCTTTCAGTTCCTCCGTGTTCATTTTTGCATTTAGAGGGAACTTGGTACATCATGGTAGTGTATTATGATATGATATTATGATACTCTGATATGACTGGCTTTGGATTTAGTTCATTAAAAAAAATGCTGACTGGCCTTCTCCCCTCCCAACTCATAGGACGATCATCCGCTTCAGAGGAAGCACCAGGGCCTGCCCACCAGATTGTCATGTGATATCTTCTTGCAGCTTCTTGTTCCAGGCTGAAATTAACCTTAAACAGATGGGGCTGGGGCTGTATATTCTCATGGTAGTTTGCGGAGGTTTACGATTTCAGGTAAGCAAAAAGAATTAGGGAAGGATTTTATTAGGAAAAATGCTGAAATTTTTTTTTACAACTTTTTAAGGGAAATATTAAAGATTTATCTATCTGCTTTGTAATCTTCCATGTAATCTCATAGTCCAGGTTTTTCTTTAGATCTTTTTGGCACTTCTCCACAACCTTCTCCTGATATTCTGTTTGTAATTAGTGAGTTGATTGTTGTACCACTGAATTAAGCTCCTGTGTAATATAATTATCTTGGAATTGTTATACATGGAGCATAATCAGAACATAATCTGTTCTGCTCATTTAAAATTCTCAATAATCATTTGACTGAGGCCACAACAAAGAACACTACAGAGTTCCAATTATTTTAGACTATGATCTAAGTCATGCACTCAGAGCAAATTAATCATTTATTTTTCAAAATAAATTCTCAACAATCATGTGATCATGTTATGTGACTAGCTGGCTGATAATGTGTCACCATAGCATGGGAGATAAAGAGATAAAGTGACTCCACAGTATGACTCAGAAGAAGATCGGCCAGTAACCTAGAAAGAGTTTAAGTGAATAAGAGAGGGGCAGATCTAAATGTCAAGTATAAATTGTGATTGGGACGTTAGATTTGAACTTGCACGATTTGGAGCAGCAGTGAGCATGAGATATGAGTTACTTTGGGATGCCTTATGTCTAGGTACATGAGATTAACCTCAGGAAAGTACTATATACAGTACTGTAATGTCCTACCATTCTGAAATATTGTATTGTTTTATACTAACTAGGTATTCATAAGTATAAAATCTCTTATGCAAAGCAGCCAGAGCAGAAATACAAGAAGGAGCTAATTAGTGTTAAATATATTGTTTCAGCCAATAAGAATTATATCTTATTACGGCCATGGAATGAATGGATCTTCTACCCATGCCCCTAACCTTAATAAATAGTTATAGTTAAAGCAGCACTGTGGTTGTATGGAAAAAGACAAAATGAAGCTTTCTTCTCTTTTTCTGGATAGCAGGGCACTGCAGCAGTTCATTCCTTCAGCATTGATTATAAAAATAACTGCTTCCTCAAGGATGGAAATAAGTTTCGTTATATCTCAGGCAGCATCCATTACTTCCGTATCCCACCAGCTTACTGGAAAGACCGGCTCCTCAAGATGTATATGAGCGGTCTCAATGCTGTACAAATGTAAGTGATCAGAAGTGATTCCCAGCTGGGACATACTCTTTGCTGTAAAAGAGACTAGAGACTTAACTGATCATAAATATTCCAATTTTCTAATTGGAAGGTTAATGATTTGGATTGTAACCAATATTGGGAGCAGAGAAACTCATGCTTATTAAAAATAGATCTGACCCAGGAGTGGGATTCTACCGGTTTGGACCAGTTTGTTAAGTTTCCATCTGGTTCTTTGAAGCGGTATTTCAACTGACAGGCTGGCCCCGCCCACCCCGCCCCTCCCTTCCCAGGAATCTCCGCTTGGCCCATTTTCCATGTAGGGTAAGTGCAGGGTCCATGCAGAGGCTCTGGGAGGGGGGAAAACAGGCCTTCCGGAAGTCCGGAAATGGACCTGTTTGCGGCTTCCGGTGGGTCTCCAGAGGCCCGGGGGAGGCCTCTGGGCCCTTGGGAAGGCAAAAAACAGCACTCCCAGAAAAACTGGAAGTTGCAAAACGGACCTGTTTCTGGACTTCTGGGAGTTCCGGTAGACCATGCCCACCATGGCCACGCCCACCCAGCAACCAGACAGTAAACCGGTTGCTGGCATTTTTGAATTCCACCCTTGGTCTGACCCAAGTAATGAAAATCATTTTTTCTCTCATAAGGTCTCATTAGGATATATATACCCTTGCGCAGATACAGTATGTCTGTATAGCACTAATTGTATGTAAGTATGTATAGAATGTAGCATATTTAATTACCCCCTTTCTGCTACAATTGGGATAATTACCTCTGCCCATCACTCCAATTTAAAACTAGGAGAGAAAATTTTTGTTCATATTCCCTGCTTGCTATCACTTATGTGTGAATTTGCTATCAAGCTAAGCTGAGAAATAGGGATTGAAAGATGTACTTGAACTACAAAAATATTGTTTAGTATTTAGTGCCAGAAGGTAAAAAGTATGGTTTTGTGCTATTTACCCATAATTACAGTTACTCTTTTTTGTCTCTCAGAAATCTATTCTGGATTGAAATGTGTATTTTAATTCCTCAGTTATGTCCCATGGAATTACCATGAACCATTGCCTGGAATTTACAACTTTTCTGGGGATAGAAACTTGGAAGGATTCTTGGACTTAGTGGCCCAATTAGGGCTATTGGTGATTTTGCGCCCTGGACCCTACATCTGTGCTGAATGGGATATGGTGAGGGCTATGCAGATTCAGATAAGTCATTATTTTAAGCATCTGAATGTTCCACGTCTCATTTCAAACAATTAATAATTTGATGAGCTATCTTTCCTTCATATTCCTTTTATAGCTTTTCTTCATTTTTAAATCTTATATTTTTCTTGCTTTATAATTATATATGGCTGCTCTCATCATTCAAGCAACTAATTTACAGTAATTAAGCTCAAACCTATTTTTGCAGTTTTGAATTCTCATTTTTTGGCAGTCCTGTGTGGCCATAAAGAGAGCATAAATAATGTCTTTGACTTTCGTTGCACAATTGGATTACTTTGATATCTTATTTCCTAGGGTGGCCTTCCATCTTGGCTGTTGGCAGAACCAAATATTATTCTACGAACATCTGATCCAGGTAAAGGGGAAATCTGAACCAGAGAAAGAAAACAGGATTTCCTCTATCTTCTGCAGAAGCAGAGAACGTATATGAACTTAACACAAAGCTCAATGTATTCTCCCAGACTTCTTTATGCAGCATTGTAACCACCAACTCCTATCTTAGTACTACACAGGAAATTGAACAGAGTATCCTCATTTTTAGCTGAACAAGTTGCTTTCTGCTCTCAGGTTTTCTGCACGCTGTCGACAAATGGCTGAGTGTCCTGCTACCAAAAATAAAACCTCGTCTTTACCAAAATGGAGGTAACATCATCAGTATCCAGGTGCGTGAAGGATAAGACATTTCAGGCACACACACACTCCCAGTTCTTGTGTGCTTGTGTGTATGTTGTCTCCTTGGCAATAGCCATGTGGTGAATATAGTAGGGAATACAGGTTTTTTGTCACTTTCATTAAAACAAATGAATCCTAAACAATAGTTTTGGAAAAAGATGGCAATCAGACCTACCGGGTACAAAAATTGAAAATTGAATTCTGGAATCCATTGACAAATTTTTGCCTAGCAGAATCCTTTTGGATCTTAAAATCATGTTATCCAGTGCCCAACATTTTACACAACCTACATTTGCTGTCTTTCACTATCAAACAACAAAGACATTTTTAGCACCCTTCCAACTTATACAGAGGGAGAGCAAACTGCTTCCTTTAAAAACTAGCTCAGCTGCATCTACTTGGAAAACCAACATATGGGACAAGTGGGCTGCATAAGCTGCTACATATGCAGCATTTGACAAATGAGGTATATACAAGTCTTATTTAAACCTGATCTGTTGGTAAATGAGAGGCTCTAAGTCATCATCCTTTAATTCCCCACTGTTCTCTAGGCAGGTGGAGAATGAATATGGAAGCTATTACGCATGTGACTATGACTATATGCGTCACCTCCTGGCTGTTTTCCGCTTGTATTTGGGCAGAGAAGTTGTACTTTTCACAACTGATGGCATCAAAGAATCTGAGCTGAAGTGTGGGACCCTGCAAGAATTATATGCCACTGTGGACTTTGGATCAGGTAGTGCAAAGCTAAATGATCTGCATAGAATTCATAGGATCTGGAATGGATTATCCTTTGACTTCTACTCTGTTTTTTGTTTTTTGACAGACACAAATGTGACACGAGCATTTGAACAGCAGCGTCTGATTGAGCCAAGAGGGCCACTGGTGAGAGCAATTAGCCTTGCCATGTAGGAAGAAGCAACCTGTGGCTTTTTAATGCTCATTTCTTCTGAGCACCTAGAGGTGCTTCCAGGGAATTGCTAAGGGAATCAAAAGTATTCATGTATGTTAAATCCTCATTTGCCTCTGTGGTTTGTAAGTTGGTGCTAAAGCAATAGAAATTGTAGCCCTATGTTTTCAAGAGTGTCTGGCAAGCTATGAGTTTCATTTGCCTGTCTAATAAATGCAATAAAAATAAAATGAACAATATTCATTTAATATTTAGTTCATTCAATTCAAATTGTTTAAAAGTTGTTTTTCTACAGATACAAGCATATATTAAATTACCACTTTAAAGTAGACAGCATAATGAGCAGAGGTATTCACCTTGGAGTATATTTCCTAATTGGTGCACAGCTTAATTTTGGACATAAATGAGATCATGAGCATAGCCACCGCAGCTGATTATAACGTACAGCTTGGATATTATTGTTGAAGTATGTGGTTCTATGGACCATAGATCATAATGTATCAACTAATCTATTTTTATGGTCTGACTTACTTATCCTGTGCTCTCAGATTTTAACATTTGAGTTGGAACAAAACTTATATATGGTTTCAGGTGTTGAAAATAGCTTTGCTATTATTCCATAAAAGTCTTAATTATGCTTTTCCCCTAGGTAAATTCTGAGTATTACACAGGCTGGCTGGATTATTGGGGTGAGCCACACTCCACAAAAAGTACTACAGTTGTGACTAATGGCCTACAGAAGATCCTAGAATTGGGAGCCAACGTCAACATGTAAGCGTGAGACTATATGGGAGAGTGGCAGGGGGACAGAAGCAATAGAATTGATTATAAAAAGAAATGAATTATGTCTAAGACACAAGTCATGGCTCTTAGCTTCATCTTATTCTATATGGGTATTTTGGTACATCAGATGGGGTGTGTGTGTGTGTGGGTGTGCGTGCACAATCTTACTATCTTTTCTTTCCATGTATTTCCATACATAGCAAATAAAATTTTCCAGCAGAATGAAGATGTAATGTGAAACTTGAACATATTTGGGACTACCCTGGGTTCACCATTTATCTTACTTTATATGACTTTATTTATCTTACTTTATATGGAGTCACATTCTCCTCATTCTAAGCAAAAACCAGACAGGCCACATTATGGTTTATTCAGTGTGCAAAACTGTTCTTGGTTCCTTTTGTAGTCCCGGTCCATTTTTCTCTATTCCACAATCAGTCATTGTCTCAGTGCTTGGATGAAAAGTGAATTCTTACTCTGCTGCCTGATCTTTTTTCTAGGTATATGTTCCAGGGTGGCACCAATTTTGGTTACTGGAGTGGTGAGTTTCTGGGTTCTTGGGGTTGCTACCTCAATCAGATATTGTAAGGCTTAGCTTCTGGGTGGAAAATAGAAGTACTGGTATCTAGTTGCAGATGAGAGTTAGAAATCCAGAAGCCTGTTTTGTTCTCATAGGTTTCTCTACTCAGGTGCTGATTATAAGGACAAGTATTATCCTATCACTACTAGCTATGACTATGATGCACCTCTCTCAGAAGCTGGAGATCCTACAGAAAAGCTGTATGACATTCGAGCCATCATTGGCAAGGTAACAATTCAACATTCTTGACAGTAGATGGAGAGGCAATGCTGCTTTTTATACTGATTGAAAGAAACTATTTAATCTGCTGTTTTGCTGCTATGCACATGCAGTCACAGCCAGGGTAGGATATAACCCTAAAGTTTAAAACTTAATCAGAGCATATTCGAATAAATTATTGGCAGTAAGTTTTAGAAGAGATAAGTTCTATTCATGATTCCTGGAAGCAGGGGAATGGAATGACTACAAGAGCTTGGTATTACTGCACCAGACAGCCATGATATAGCCAAATCTGGTTCAATATGCAATCAAGTAAGAGTGGTGAATTACGTTTGGGCTCCCCACATCCAAATCTCCAGTGAATGAACTGCATGTACCAATCTTTATTTCAGCAATTATTTTCTCATTCTCCTCCACTTGCAGTCGAATATGCATAGGACAACTATTTGGGGAACAAGAAAATGGTGATGTTTCACTAGCAGATGGTAGATAATACTGGGGATTTGGATGCTTAAAAGTTATCTCCTCCCCTCCAATTTTTAAAGATATTTTTTTTCTGGTAGGAGCCATGTCGAGGCAAGGTAACTGGTTTATTCTTTCTGTTTCAGTTGCTAAATGTGATATTGTCATCAGCTGAAATTGATGTTAAGTTTGACCTCTTTTGCTTTTTTTTTTTTTAAATGCAGTTTCAACTGGTGCCTGCAGGACCAATACCACCTCCCACTCCCAAATATTCATATGGCTATATATCTTTACCACTGGTAAGTTAGACTTCTAAGATACTGTATTCCATCGGATGTTCAGGAATTAGATAATGGATAAGCTATTCCTGTAGTCTTACATGTTGTTTCCTAAGATGGAATCAAAGGTATTAAAATGGATTTTGAAATAGAAAATTTGATACATAAAACTGATGGTATTAATGGCACCAGTATTGAGATGTGCTCCATGCCCACATCAGGAATTCAGCAGAACCACTGTTTTCATTTTTAAACAGTGATATGCTTATATGGTACAGCGTTTTTAAAATGACATAGTTATCTTTTTGCTTGTTTTAATGTTGCTGTATACTTACTTTGTAATATTATTTGATATTTTTAATGGAAATGATTTGGGGAAATATGTTTTTGTATCTTACTTTTTAAATAGCATAAATACAATTTCAGTTTTTTCTTACAGTGTGTGGCCTTTTTGGATATTCTAAGTCTTCTCTCCCCTGGCCTACCATTCCATTCTTCCTTCCCCCTCACTTTTGAGGCTCTGATGCAGGTAAGAAATGAAACAAGAGTCTGTGGCATCAAAAAGGGAAGCTAAGAGTAGTTCTACGAGAAAATTCAGGAAAACTCAGAGAAGCTGAAAAAAAAGATCCTTTGGATCTTGCCTGTTTGGTGTTTGGATTGCAGTCCACATTTGCATTAGTTTTCATTTTATATTTCAGACCCATGGCTTTATGTTGTATCGTACTGTTCTTCCAGATGACATCCTACAGCCTGTTTTGCTCTCAGTCCTTGAGAATGGGATCCATGACCTTGCCTACGTTTTACTTAATGGAGTAAGTTGGAAAGTGGAGACATTTGTATGATCCAGGCGTTTAATTGCCAGGGGGGAAATGTCCCTGGTTCTCATAGTGATTGCTTGAGGCTGCTGAGTGATATAGGGGTTTTGCTTCAGTTCTAAAAGTGCTATTTAATTGTTAATCCTTTATTCTTTCTGCCTTGAGGAATATAAAGGGACACTGGAACGAGACAGAGTGAATGCCATCGCTATAACTGGTCAGCTAGGAGATTCATTGGACTTGCTGGTGGAGAGCATGGGCCATATCAATTTTGGAGCAAATAACAGTGACTTTAAGGTACTGCAGGAGAGCACTACTGATGAAATAGTAGATAAAGAGTAATGCTTTCACTTTTATTCATAGAAGTACACTGGAGTGGGATGGACTCTAGGCAGCTACATTATCACTTCAGAGTTAAGTATTTTCCAGAAGAGTAAGCCGTTTCTAGGTAATAAACAGCAACTGAAGTGATTTGAAAGAATTGGGGATTTATTTATTATTATTATTTTTGAGATTTGGAATTGGAATATTAGGCATTCTTCTGAAAAATGAGCTGTAAAGCAAAAATAATGAACTCATTTTTAATCACTGCACGTTCTGATATAATGTTTATTAGTTGCTTGAATAGCTTTATTCCAGTTTTTTGGGGGGTGGAAATCTTAAAAATCCTGTTACAGGAAAAATGATTAGGTCCTTACAGATAATAGCTGATTGTTTTGCCAAGCAGCAGGATTCAACTCTTTTCTTACATGAGGGCTACAGATTAAAAGCGAAGTGTATGCTATTCTTTTCACATCTTAGTGTACTTTTCCCTTTTTTTGCCCAGGGCCTGACCCATAATCTTACTTTGGGTTCTACCATTCTAAGTGACTGGCTAATCTATCCACTTGATATTGACTCAGCTGTGGCCCAGGAATGGCCTCCATATGTCCCACGAAGCAATAGCACCGCAGGACCTGCTTTCTATACCGGGGTCTTCAAAACACCTGGTATCAACTATGACACCTATGTGAAGTTTCCAGGGTGGAGCAAGGTATAGCAATCCTGAACACAATTTTATCTCCCATTAGGCAGCAAGGTGATTTCTTTGCTTCCTCTCATTGGCAATGGAGCTTCTATGATCCAAATTACTAGCTGCAGCTCTTTTACTATATTTATCCATTAAGCACTTTATAATTACAGGCAGTTCAATAATTAGTTTATAAGTAAAAAGTTGCCTTTATTTACTATTTTAAAAATATCAAAATTAAGTGGCCATTAAGGTCGAAATAGGGAACAGGAAAGACAAAACATCACATGATGCCAAAAACAAGTTTTATGTAATTTAAACAGTAATTAAATAGTTACTTTATAGAACTATGTTGAGGTAGTGTTAATAACATAAAATTTTATTGGTTTTAGCATTGTGTAGAACAGGAATCCTCAACCCCCTGGCCGCAGCCCCCCTATCGGGCCTTAAGCCACTCGCCCCAATCTACAAAGACAGAAAGGTTAGAGAACTCTGGTGTAGAACATTAATATGTTTGCCAGTTGTTCCCATAAACATTTATAAAAGTCATTCAGCATTTCAAATTCCATAATTACATTATTAAGAATAATATCTTTTTACCATCTAAAAGTATGTCTTCCTATTGTTATATATTCAAATCATATAGTTGTAATCCACACACATACAGAATTAACTTCTAAGCTTTATACTAGTAAGCTGTCTCTTGCCATCAGTGATTTTCCTGGCTTGGGATAGATAATAAAATATGAAATAGATGCAGTAGTCTCTTGGGATGCCCAAATAAAGTATTACTTTATAAAAATCACTTTTATCTTTTTAACTAGGGCCAGATCTGGATCAATGGTTTTAACCTGGGCCGTTTCTGGCCAGTTCGTGGACCCCAGCAAACCCTCTTTGTGCCTGGCTTTCTCCTCAGTACCTCAGTCCTCAATACTATTGTAGTGTTGGAACTGCAGAATGCACCATCAAACCCAAAGGTGCTTTTTCTTGACCGTCCCGTTCTCAACGGCACTTCTAGCTTCTCTCTAAAGGACATGAAATAACTGGAAATGCTATCCAATTATGACATTGCTGAGACCCATGGCAAAAGTATTTGAAATCACTGTCTTGTAAGAATCAAATGAATAAAGTATTGGACTGTAGCGTAAGCTCTAATGAACAAACCAAGTAAACTACAGTTATTTAGACAGCAAGTCTTTCACTGGAGTATTAGTTGAAGTTGATGCTATTTAAGTGCTCAGGATGAATCATGCTCCTCACCAAATTAAATATGCAGGTATCTGGCATAGTATTGTAATGCATTCTTGGCACTGCATTTGTATCAAAGATAGAGTTGCAATTGGAAACTGGCAAAGTTCAGTGAAAATAGGATGAACCAGGCAATCACATGACATACTTGGGGATAAGGCACCTTTAAACATCAGGAACAGATATAAAGTTCTTTGTGCTTTATATTAAGTAGATCAAGGGTCTGTCTCGATTCTTAAGACATCTATTGCTACTTGTGAAAGTACTAGCTAAGAGACAATCAAATAGCATTAGGTCAAAAAAACAGTGCTCAAGGATTCTTCCATTTTTGTTATCTATGATCTTCGTTCAGTTATTCCTTAATATACAGTAGACTTCTGTAACCAGCACAGCAAAGATGTATTACAATTCTTAACTTGTAGAACTCCCAGTCAGCAGTTAATTCCAGTGGGGCAGGCCCAACATATCTGGGGAGAGAGGTTGCTCTTTTTAACTAAATAACCTAAGTTTAAAATTGAAAAACCTACATTCTTACAAAAGAAGTTCATTTCTCAAATAACAGCAGTCCATATTAATTTCTTATGAACCATAAGTTCTTATGAACTTATGACTTTCCTGCTGTGCTTAATCTCTCACCATTCTAAAGTGACAACAGTCCTGGGGTTGGATTTCTGTTGTAGCACAGTCTCTTGACGCCAAAGCAAAACCTCCAGCTAAGATGGGGGAGTTTTCCCTCGACGATGGGCTTGGAGACAATTTGTGGAGCAGAAGGAGAAGTCAAGATAATGGAAAGGAATGCAACCCAAAAGGGATTCCCCACAAAACCAGCAGCGCCTATGGACACAAAAGATGAAAAATCATGTGGTTTTTACCCAAATAATATTTCTCAGGAAGTCCTCACCCTCCCAAAATACCTGGTATTGGTCAAAGATGCACCAGAGTCTTTTAATTGGGAAGCAAATCTCCTCTCAGCCATCAGAGCACGCTAGAATGAAAATAAACTATTAGGAAAAGGTCACTGTATAGAAAAAGAATGGTCTCCATCTTTCTGTATGAAGTTCAATGCATTAACAGCCTCAAAATATTGATGAAAGAATTTGGACAACATTATATCAAACTATAGAAGAACGTTTATTAAAATCTATTGGATTTACTAGGCTACCCAACACAATAGGACTATGGGTAACATACAACATAAAAGAAATAAAATAAAGGAACCATTTAACACTAATGTACACAATTTATTAATATAAAATGGCAACTAATAAAAAACAATCAGAAAGTAACTTTGCCTATGGAAAAAGCCTCTCCTAGGGTGGGTGAGGGATTGTTCTAGAGCACAGAGGCAGCCTTCCAAAAGGCATGCTTGCAGTACTAGCTTCCATAAGGTGGCAAAATTTAAAAGGGAACCTGGGGCATTGCTCTCTCTCTGGGAGTATGCGGAGTGGGCAGGTGTTCTTTGCAGAAGGTGGCTCTGCAACTTTACTACTACTAGGCCATGCAGAGCTTTAAAAGTGATAAGCAGAACATTGAATCCTATCGAATCTTACTGGAAGGCAAAATAACTTACAGAGTAGCAGTGTTACATGGGTGTAATGAACTGTTGGGGGACAATATGCTGACTCTGTAAACCGCTCAGAGAGTGCTGTAAAGCAGTGGTCCCCAACCTTTTTTGTACCAGGGACCGGTTTCAAGCAGAAACATTTTTTCAAGGACCGGGAGGGGGGGGGGAGGAGAGAGAATCCGACTTTGGTAGTTTGCTTGCAGACGTTTCATTACCTGACTAGGTAACATCTGATGTTATTACCTAGTCGGGTAATAAAACGTCTGCCAGCAAACCACCAAGTTCAGGGAGCGCCTCGGCCCTGCCTCCCTCAGCCCCATCCCTCAGGTGTCTGCCTCCCTCCCTCCCTCAGGTGTCTGCCTCGTTCCTCTCTCAGTCACTCTATCGCTCCTACAGCAGCCCAGGAAGAAACTGCTTCAAAGAAGCCGGGGGTGGGGGGGTGGGGTGGCTTTTCCTGTCGCCACAGCTTCCCCGAAGCGCCCGTTTCACCCCCACCCCGCCCGCCCGCCCGCTCGCGGTTCAATCCACAGTGCTCCGTTCTACCTGCCTGCCTGCCTGCCTTCTTCGTTTCGGAGCAGCTTCGGCTGATAAAAAGAGGCGAATAGTTATTATTCTCAGCCGAAGCTGCTCCCAAACAACCAGACAGGCAGGCAGGCAGAACGGGGCACTGTGGATTGAACCGCGAGCGGGCGGGCGGGTGGGGTGGGGGTGAAACGGGCGCTTCGGGGAAGCTGCGGCGACAGGAAAAGCCCCCCCCCCGGCTTCTTTGAAGCAG